CACGACCACACATCTATCCTGCCTCTGCTTGGAGATGATCTGGAGAGCAAAACTGAGCTTGCCGGCTCTGCCTTTTCAGCACCTGGGGGCCTTGGCTGCCATTAACCCAGGCCCCCGACGCTGAGCTTTCATCACAGCGTTTATTGCAAGGGCCCTCTGAGTCCGGGGGGGCCAAACAGTCCCCAGGTGTTGAAAGCCAGGATAAGAGCACAGACCACGGGGCCCAGACAGGAGCAGGACCAAGACCTTTATAAAAAAACAGGTCTTCCTCAACTGTCCTAAGTGTATAAACTTTTACGTTTGTAGGTTCTTCTTCAAATGCAGATATATATACAGCCCCTTTATTTTAGAAAAATCTGAAACTCTCACATTTAATATAACCAAGAGAGCATGTTGTTATCACGATGGAAACAGAAGCATGTGAGATAAGTTTCCATTTCTGTGCTGCTAAACACAAAAGTGCCGTATGTGTCAGCATACCTACGAGCGGACAAGGAGTGTTCACGCGGTCACCGTGGCGACGGCCTCTCACCAAAACGAACGGAAGCTGGGCCCTGAAAAGTCACTGTCACTTCCCAACAGCTAGGAGTCACTCACTGGCACAGAGGGTGATGCTGTGTGTAGAGGACATATACTCCTCATGAGAGGAAATGTACTTTTTCTCATTTAATGTTTTCCGTGTATGTGGGTTCGGCTTCCGTTTTAAAAACTGCAAAAATACCAGGGAACAAAATGCAAGCACGGCAGAAAAGAGGCACATGCTTACTGAATCAAGAAGTACTTACGAAGCTGAAAATGTTCACGTCTGAGTATTTATTAAAGAGGTTTAAGGGTTCAGGAACACTTCTGTCATTAGTCTGACAGACTACTTCCTTACCTCCTCTAAAACCTTTTGTAACGTGTGATTCCTTGCAGAATGTCACTAAATGGGGCCTTTTTTAAGAAGCTTAGTGATACTTTTAAGAAGTATCACTCAGCATCAAGAAGAACTGGGGCTCAGAAAGTGGCTAATGATGCTAATAATGATATATATATGTAAGGTTTGTGTTTCAGGCTGCGTTAATTAACACCTCACTGCACAGAAACTGTATTTTAATTGGCCTCGATGGTTGGATTATGTTGGCAGCCCGTTCCTGATGGAGAGAGACGGGAAGGCGGGGGTGTCTTAGAGGATGCTGGGGGGGTGAATAAGTGGCAGCTGCCCGCTTTGGGATGCGGCCAGCACAAAGATGGCGTCCCCGCCAAACACGCCATGAGGAGGTCCAATCAGGACGGCCACTTCAGGACATGACCGATCAGAGACGGGCATATAGGCACGACGCGTACGGCCAACAAAGGCCATCCGCTATTCATCCATTCCCAAGCTGCACTGAGCTCTAATCCTTGTTATACTTTGATATTTGATTTAACTGGCATCACAGCACTATAGAAATACATGGACTATATAAGCAAATTATATTGTCTGTTCGATATTTCCTTTGTATGATAACATTTTCTTGGTTTTAATGATATGATTTTAAAACAAACAAAGAAAAATTTTCTGCTTTCTTTAATATTCAAATGGAAGCAGGATTTCCGTATATGGCAGACTCCGTTTACCGTAACATGTCTTCTGTTTGTGTTCCCTGGCATATCAGTGGGCGGTCTTCCAAATAATGTCGCATAATTTCCGGGAAGGTGCGGCCCGGCTACAGGGCCACCAGGCACTGGAAATAACGTTTGATCAGCCACATGGGTTTGTGAGAATATGCTGGGGTGGTGGGGGTTAAGCCCTTGGCTTTTAATCCATCCATTATGCTGCGCCTGTTACTCTCGTTACCTGCTCAGCTTGTCTGTGTGGCGCTCCTGCAGAGACTGGAAGCAGCGGGAAACCCAGGACTTCGATCCGCCGCCGCCACTCACGGTTCCGTTAAAACATAAATCCTACAGAGTCGGCTGTTTCTTTCCCGCTGGGTAGGAGGAATCTGGCTACAGGTGAGAGATGCGGGCCCGTATGTAATCCTGCAGACACTACGGTGAGGGGTGCAAGGGAGCTGCCGACAGCAGCATGTAGCGGCGAGGCGGGGGGGGGGGGGGGGGGGGGGGGGGGGGGGGGGGGGGGGGGGGGGGGGCCCTTCTGAACACGACAGACACTGAAAATCCGTCACGGCGTGGGGGAACCGTAGTCAGGGCTTAAGCTGACACTGAAATCCAACCACTTCTGAACTAGGCCACGGAAAAGTGGGGCCCGACTCGGCAGAGAGTTCAAGCTCCGGTGACGCTGTCAGACCTCCGCTGTCGGGATTCTCTGAATTCCCTTGTAGCTCAGGAAACCCCAGAATGGGCTCGCGTGCACCACTGCCGGATGGGGACTCACATTTCAGACCCCGGTGGACAGACGCGGAGTAAGGGGGTGGGGCATACATGGCAGAGAGCCTACGGACTGCCTCCTCATCTCTATCAGGAGTAACTGCTGGCGCCCCCCCCCCCCCCAGTAGAAACGGTCAGAGGGAGATCAGCTCACACTTTCAGAAAGCCTCTGCCAGCTCTAGGGATCATGTGGACCCCTGAGGGCCCCCGGGAAAGTAACACGACCCCAGTAAGCCCCCCCACCCATTGTCTGCCCCCACCCATTGTCTGAATTTTTAATTCAGTGAGGCCCTCACATATATGAGAGATGGAAGCTATGAGTGATATGCCCTCAAGGCAGAAGCCCCCCCTTATCACCTAACATACATGTCACATACATGTCAGATAACATACATACTATCTCAGGTAAGATAAGATACCTTTATGGACACTGTACAAATACAATGAGATCATTTGGAGCAAGCCTGTAGACACCACTGGAAGCAAAGAAAACACCAGCACATCATTGTTAGAAGGATATTACACAACAAAAGAGTGAAGAGCTCCGGGCCGCCATCTTGGTTCATATACTTCATAGTTGATAGTGTTATAGAGTCTAGCTAAGAGGATGTACTCCCAGTCTGACCATGATTCTGAACAGGTCTGGCTCAACCTTGACAGGTCAAAGCAGTCCTCTCTTCCTCCAAACCTTTTCCCATAATTCCCCTGGGTGGTGAACCTTGGGTTCACGGGCAACGGGGTGAAAATGGGCAGGATATCATTCTCGCCTTTAAAGGAAACGAGGGAGGCGTGAAAACCTTCGACTGTCTGCGGTCGACTGTCTCGTCTATATTGGCAGACCGAAAAGAAAAGAGCAGATCAGCGCCCTGAGGCTGGGCTCCATGGGGCCCGGAACGGGAAGCTGAAGTCTCCCTATGTCCTGCACAGGCCATCGCTAAATGCACACCATGGCGCGAGCCCAGTGACGGAAGCCATAACACACCGAGGAAATTTACACCTGGGCGGCAGGAGTTGGGCCGCCGACCTCCAGGGAGACTGACGCCCGCGGTGAGGGGGGGTGGGGGTTGTGTCAGGCTGGTAGAGGAGCAATGACGTCTGAGTGAGACGAGAGAACAGACAAATGGGGAGGGCGCCTCATTCGGGGAAGGGCAGGGGGTCATGACCCACCTGAGGCATCACAGCTACCAGCCTCACACCTGCAGTGCTGCCGCGGATCCTGAGGTCAGGCGGGGGCTCGAGAACTTCCGGGCCGTCACCTGGTTCTGGAGCGAGGATTTTCTGGTATAATATGTTGGCCCGCAGGAAGCACCATCCCCAGCTTCCCAAATTCCTCCAGGAAGTGTGAGACAGGGTAGAGCTGGGGGCCACGGGTGCGACACATCTGACTGGAACAGGGGATGTCATGGGGCCATTTTAGTGTACAAGGGCACTGTGGTTCTGTGTGTGTGTGTGTGTGTGTCCTGTTGTGTTTTGAGTCACATTTACATAATTTGAGTTTCAGCACATTAGGAGGTGAGTGGCCAACAAAAACATGCAACATGTCCATCCATGCGCCATCTGTGACCGGTTATCCAGCAATGGATCTCGGTGAATATACAACATATGTAATAAATATGTATATACATAAGTTGTCACGCCTGCACATACAGAGTATACACTACACATACAGCTGAAAGGCGGTTTGCAGAGGTATGTCTAGGCTCCGCGCACGTCCTGTATGATGTCAGCTTTACCGCAGGATGGCGGGACCACGCCAAGGAATTTGCCTTGCAAACGAAGCAGGTCGCAGGTTTGCCTCAGTTACGGGCCAGGCGGTTAAACAGTGTTATGCCTCCTGCCTTGTGGGTCGAGTCCCCGGGCCGGGGTTTGTCCACATGAGGCCAAGGTCCATATGGGGACTCGCCACGGCCGCTTAAGGTCACTGCCGTTCTGTGCTGGCCGCTCAAAACGACCGTAAGCACATTTTCCCTTCTCTCTCTTTTTCATGCTTTTTTTTTTCTTTTTACAAAAAAAGGGTCATTTTTCCTTGTTGTTGCACGGTCACAATTACTCACCGGGGACGAGAATAGGAAAGGTCAAAACAGGACGTGTGAAGTGAGTAACCCAGAGAAGGGCTGTACACGCACTGAAAATATCACCCCACGTGAGGTGTTACTCCCGCAGCCACTGGGGCGAGGACACGCCCCACCCCCGGCGCGGGACCTGAACACGCCCCTGAACCCACGTTTAATAAAAACACACCTCAGGACTATCCAGCTGCACCATTTAGGATTAAAATAAACCCTGAATATTCTTAGTATCACGTTAGTGCTTATGAAGCGTGAACCTGACTAAGTGCATTATGTGAAAAGCCATTTTTAAGCTCTGTTGTGTAATTACCCAGACTGTAATTGTTACATAATGATTCGGGGAGCCACATGTGCATATTTATTACTGTTTTCATGTCCTGGTGCCGCCCAGGTCGGGCTGCATTGTGTGGGATTAGAGACACCCCCAGCCCCCCCTTGTCAGTGAGGTTTAAGAGGGCTGACGGTGAAGCTGGGTCCATCCCCATCCCACGCACCCTCTCTGTTAAAAAAAGAGTGACCCCCCGCCCTCTTTAAAGAGGGCCGAACAGTCCTGCCAGGGTAACGCTGCTGACGTGGCCTTACCTGTCTGGAGCAAGCCGGCCTCGCTGTCGGTGACGGTGAAATGCTTCTGGATGTCAAGGAGAACACCTGGTGGCAGGAAGGGGGACAGTGTCACTGATGGCGGCTTGTGACGTCACTAGGCCTGCTTATTATAGATCATGCAAATGCAATGGCTAATGCTACAGAAATTACCCAGTAAAATTGGATTACTATCTGCACTTCCAGTGGAAAGAGAGAAAACGGACAAAAAAATAACAGATTATGAAATAACAGTAAATGTAATTTCTTGGTGATTTTCTTCTGAAGACCGCAGGAATTCCCCGGGTCGTTTATTTAATTAAAGTTAAATCTACAGGATGTTTATGGCGGCCGTACTGCAGGCTGGCTCGGGCCTTGGCTAACAGCGCGAGACCCGGTGCGTCGGCCCGGCCGAGGGCAGAAAGCTGTCTCTGTCATGCACCCTGCCCCGCCCCTGGAGGGCGCCGCCTGAGCTCGCTCCCAAAATACAGCCTTAATTACACCTTGGGCCTCTGAGAGGAAGCGGGGAGCACCCGCTCACGAGGGCTGTATTTATACTCCACCGCGTAAATATGTGTGGGGAGGTGGCTGCTCGCCATGCTAACGGGGCGGTGAGCGGCTCAGCGGGCCCAGCCTCTGTGCCTGTGATCGGAAGGTCATCCCTCAGCAGAATAGTCAGTAGGGCCCTTAACCCCCAGCTCCAGGGGCACTGCATGCTGGCTGCACTGTGACCCCCCAAGCTTACTCACACCTGTATACGTGTCTGTGTCTCATGGAGAGCAGGATGGAGTAGGCAAAGAGAAGCATTCTAGTGTCCCTATGCTCATACTTCTGCCAATGTCAAATAAAAGATCATTTCAATGCTAGCTGATGCTAGCCCACATTCCACCTGTAAGGAAGGCAAAGCCATCGATCATGTTAACTGTTCCGAGGTGGGGAGGGGGGGGTCATTTGTATCAGTGAGCCTGTCTTTGGCCCAGTGGCGCCCTTGGTTCTAAAGGGATTATAAGGAGGGGCCAACAAAATAGCAACACGTCGTTACTTCTGTGTCTTCCTAAAAAATGTTACTTCAAAATATGAAAGCGATAAACACAGTAATGAGATGTCACGGCGTATGAGGTAAATGCCGTTTTGGGGAGGGATCAGCTGTATTTCAGTATGTGACAGATGAGCAGGGTACAAACAGGCACCATGGTGCAGACAGCTATCATGACAGTCATCAGTAGCAGCACTTACAAATGGGATAGCCAGTGGGAAAGATTTGTTCACGCAGAAATGCATTGTGGGAAAAGGCCTCCGAGGCACTTCATAGGATGCCAATCAGTGAAATACCTGATGGCCTTTGCATCTCAGAGCCACAGGGGAGACCGGCTCGATTGTCAGACAGGAATTCCAGCCCTGAGCTCCCCCCCCCCCGTCCCGGATCTGGCCGACCTGCCTCATCCCCAGGTGCCTGCTGCCTTCCTCTCCCCACCCCGTCAGATCTGTCGCCCCAGGGGGTGAGGGGGTGGGGGCGGCTGCTCATCAGGCAGGTCTTTAACATAGATGTCATCATGGGTGCCTCCTGCACTGAGGGATTAGCCCCCATGTGACCCGCCCCAGGAGCGACCCCCAGGAGTATAGTGAAAGCGTGGAGATCGGTCACAGCGATCAGTGACAACTCTGCCCTCGCTCCACCCCAGGGGGGAGAGTTACGTTATCTTGTCTCGGCAAAATTCATCACAAATTACAAGCATGATTGCTCAGTTAATGCCCAGCAAACAACCTGTCTAATAAGCTGATTAATTAATAGTATCATTACAGGTCTTTTTTACCTGTGAAGTTACCATATGTAGCTCGATTTAACCAAAAGTTTATCAACACTAATTAAGCATCATTACTTCTGAATTATTTTTAATAACTACCGGTATTTTTATTATTTATCATTATCAAAGGGCTAGGGCGGGTGGCTAGCAATATCGCCTCTCACCTCTGGGACCGTGTGTGTGGAGTTTGCATGTTCTCCCCGTGTCATCGTGGGGTTTCCTCTGGGGACTCCGGGTTCCCCCCACAGTCCAAAAACATACTGAGGTTAATTGGAGTTACCAAATTGCCCATAGGTGTGCATGTCTGAGTAAAAGGTGTGTGAGTGTGCCCTGCGATAGGTTGGTGACCCATCCTGAGTTGTTCCTTGCCATGCGCTCATAGGCTCCAGACCCCCCGCAACCCTGAATAGGATAAGTGGTTACAAAAAAAGGATGGATGGATGGATCATTATCAAAGGTTTTTTCCAGTATGTTTTTTTCAGTAAGGTAAGTTTCAGGACAATCAGTATCGTCACATAAACGATGATGCCATCAGGCAATGACTTCACGGCTCGTTTGAGGTGCACACAAGTCCAGGCAGATCTCCCAAATGCGACGGTGAGAAATGCGACATGCGAGTGCATTCCAGAGCACCGCCACGCCCCAGGGCCCGCGCAGCCCATCAGGGCCAAACGAAACAATGAGAAGCTCGCTAAGCCTAAAGACGTTCCTGGGACAGAGTGCTTGCCGGGGTAGAGTGTGACCCCCAAGAAGGGTCTGGGGTCTGTCACTCGCAGTATGACACCAGGGGGGGTGAGTCATGCGTGTGGGATGCTGCCACATGCAGGCCTTCGTTGCTAAGGGTGTCAACTCTGCCTGCTCTTAGTGCCCCCGTACCAGGCCTGGGGAGAGTTATTATATCCGATCCGACCCCCACTAGGGGTTTAAGAAAATATCACTTTCTCAATATGTGTACTTGACTGTATTTGTGTTCTCGTGGTCCCATTTTTACATCATCTTCCACTGCAGAAAACCACTTCCAATACTAAGAACAGAAGTACAGAGGATGCTAAAAATCCCCTGATTTCGTTCTTGCCCCACCCCAAATATCAAGAACACATCGGTTGTATCCTCTCCAAATGAGAACAATCCCATGATTCATTGCATCTGCAGTTCATTCTTGGGAGGCAATCTAGCAAAACTGCTCTTGCCAAGACCACAAGTATGATCTTTGCATTCTTGGTATTGAGAAATACCCAACATAAACTGAGAACTGTTCACCAAGATGGCAGCCCAGAGCTCTCCAATGCCACTCTTTTGTTGTATATATCAATGATGTTCTACTGGTTTCTTTGCTTCCAGTGGCGTCTACAAGCCTGCTCCAAACAATATCTTTGTATTTGTACAATGACAGTAAAGGTATCTGAGATAGGAAGCAGCATAAGGGCACGCTGCTAGCGTTAGCATTAGCAAACCTAACTGACTAGTAACGTTATCGCCAATGGCTGAATCCTAAATAGTTAGACCAAAATAAACATTTTTACTTAGATTTTATGGCTATGATGGTGTGTTATTTGTACTATTCCTAAAATAAAGATTAAGAAAATCACGATATATCACACTGCTTACAGTATTTTAATATGCAGTGACCGTGTATTACGATATGCATGGTATCACCAGATTTTTGCCGATACTAACCTCACCCCTTACCACTGTTGGCCTTCAGGCATCCACCTGAGACCACCCCACCCAGATGGGAGATGGGAGATCACATGCCAAAAAGGGCACTAAGTGTGGGGGGACAGTAAGGGGGATCCAGCAGCCCCTCTCTGTGGCGTGACTGCATCGACTTAACCAGCTGGCGAGGCCCGGTGCCATGGACCATGAAGCTTGGCTGCCCCCCTACTAGGCGGAAGACCCCTGTGCCAGATGGCGCAGCGTCCCCCTGGCGGCTCGGCCACCTGCCCCCACCCACCCACAAGTGTGCTCACACACACACACACACACACACACACACACACACACACATACAGACACACAGACACAGACACACATACACACAACTCAGGCAGAAGTGCTCAGGACATGTGTGTGCATGTAACCTCCACTCACTACTGCACTACTGTATCTTCGCCATTGTTGACGGAGTTACAATGGGGGGTGACAGCACAGCAGGAGCCCACAGTAAACTGCTGCCATTAAACAGGATGTTACATGTGTAAGGAGAGCCGATTGGATCACTCTGGATAATTCCAGATAATTCCAAGGCTGTCCCCCACAGTGGGATGATCCTCCATTCGACCCGATCGCCGGGCAGACCAGGCTGATGCCGCAGGGGAGCTGGAAGCAGACAGAAACCCCACAGCAGCCATGTTTTCTATGTCAGTTGCGGTGTGTGACTGCCCCCCCCCCCTCCCAAAGGATGGCATCTGCGTTTCCTTTCTTACTCATCCCTCCTCTCCCACCATTCTTCTCTTACATCCTCCTCCTTCCGTGTTTCTCTCTCTTCCTCACTCTCTCTCCCTCCCTCTGCATCCCTCCCTCTCTCCTCTCTCCTCCGTGTTCAGGCTGTCGTAACACCACAGAGCTCGCATATTTCCTCTGTGCGTTACCACACCGCTAACCCTAACCCGTCAAACCCGACCCCTGTCCAAGCCAGAGATCCTCACTGTCGTTCCAACGACCCATCTGGAGTATCCAGGACACGACGCAAACTGACAAACACCAGTTTAATTAAGGTCAAGTGAAATCTGTCCACACATAAAGGCTCATCACCTACAGGAGCTCAACAAACACTGTAACTCGCAGTTTGCTTTTCAAAATTAAGGCTTAGGCGACGCCTCACTGAAATGTCGCCAGAAATGGCCCTGTGACAAGCCCAGCCCGCCGCCTTAGTACAAGGTTAGGACAGGGGCTCCACTTCCTCCCACTGTGGGGGGCAAGGCGGGGCATTTTCCAAAAGGAAGCGCTAACAGACACAGGGGCTCCCATGCAGGACGCATTGCCCCCCCCCCTCGGCCCCTGGCAGAGGGCGGAGACGCCCTACGATAACAAAAGACAAGGCCCACGCTCGCCTGGTGGTTTGTCGGTGCCCCTGCAGTCACAGACACATCTGGAAAATTCACTCAAGCTTTGCACACAAAATGTAAAAATACAAGTTAGATGCAGATGCACACAAATAACAGATAAGGTAGCGATACGTTGCTAGCGGGACCCTCCCACTATAACCCTGGATGACTCAGTGTGAACCAAGCTGGCCCCCTATTACATTATCCCACACTGAGG